ATGAAGGTGCCAGATTGAACAACAGGCAGAAGAAGCTGCTCCTCCGCTTCTGCTCGTGAACTGCACTGAAAGGCATCAAAGACCACGGATTCACCTGATTCATCAGTTAGAAAGTCTGCGGGCACCAGGCCGACATTGCCGTTTCGCCAATCACGAGCACTCAACCATCGATCCGTACAGTTGTCAGCGCTACTGGTGGTGAGGCACCCGGAAGGCAAGCGAACAGGTGCCTCAATGAGGAGAATATCGCCACGCCTAAATGATATTTCATCCGAATTCGTTTTGTTGAAATCAAAGGCGCATAGCATTGCACGCTCATAAACTGTGGGTTCCTTTTTCACCACATCCTTAAAAACTACTTTCTTGGATGTTGGTTTAGGGACCACATTTGTCAAAATCTTGCGTAAACGATCAACCATGCTGGTGGTAGGAAAAAAAGAATGATTAAATAACTTGGTGGAGCCTAAGAACAAACTGAGCACAGATCCGCATGGCGGCCATACACGTAGAACCAAAATCGTTGTATTAAACCTAAAAGACCATGTCAATAGTTTGCACCATAAATTATTTGGCGAAACAGACGTCCTTTTTATTCAATTAACTACTACGATAAATAAATTTTGACGATAAAAAATATCAAAAACGTTTAAACGTACAGTGTTTAAAAGACTCTTTATACAGAAAAGGCAATTATAAACAATTAAAGGGCACCAAAGGCTTTGAAAAGCTTAGAATATTAAAGTCATGCTGATTAATCAAAGGGTACCTGCCTAGTCAAATCATAAAATCACAAAACAATTTGTAAAGGACAGTATTTCCTAAAAAAACCTCAGGTAGAAATACTTAGACAACGTGCGAAAACAAAATAGTTACCAGTAAAAAGACGAGTCAAAAGTACGTCAGTTTAGGCGAAAGCAATGAGATTAACGTACAAGTGAAAACGTATAAACAGGTGAATGCCTTTATGTACTGAATGGCTCACAACAATCTAAGTAGGTGTTTTTTAATAAAGTAAAGCTTTGATGCTTCTAAAAAAGAGGCAAACAAGGCTATCCACTATTGACAACCGATCAACGCCACAAGCACACCTACCTCTAGTCTTGAAAGTGAAGAGCGATGTTTGAAGGTCAATAATTAGGTGACTTGAACAGAAACAAACAGCATTGCAACCTGTAAATCAACAAAAAAAATGCTTAAAACATGCTCTATTTGCATTTTAATTTACCTTATTATACACGTCAGGGAATGCAGGGCTATAATGGCAGTAAGAAACAAGTGAAAGAGTCTATGCATCCCTGAATTCTGTTTATAAATAAAAGTGTGTCAGAAATTCAAAAAAAAAACATTTACAAAACAGTTTTAAAAAAATTAGATTGTTTTAGTCTTATTAATCAAAAATATGCGCCTACCCAGTTATGAATATTTAGGTTGCTTGACTATAAGTGCCCCAGTTTACTTTCTTCATAAAGTCAAATTATGCAGCATGCAATCCAAAGTAGCTTGTCAGCTAAGGTAGTGTTTAAAGGTTTGGCTGCTTAATTTTAGAAAAAAAGAGAACTGTTATTTTACCTCTCGAATGTGTTAATCTCAGATTTGCATCGTACTCCAAACTGATTAACGACTATCAAGCCTAGCATTCAGTGTAAGCTTATGAGGTATTACGATTCTCTTTCCTTACCCATAGAGCGTTTTTGAGTACAACATATTTCAGGTAGAGTCCCTAATTTTTGGTCCGTACCACAAATATCTCAATTACTCTAATTGACGCAAAAGTAAGATTTGAGTTTTCTTACACTTTTACATGTCTCTGACGTAGAAGCTTTTACAAACCCACAATATCCTTTATTAACCTTTCCATAATGCACAGGAGGGTTTATGCTTTACCAACCGATACCTTATTTGAAAACGCCTTTACCTAAATTCATAACGGTTACCAGCTGTCATATTAAGTTATCACACCATCTATTCATGCTTGCAATTTTTAAATGCACTTACCTAGGTCCTAAAACACACCACAAGCACACAAGTGCCATTCACAATACTAATTATAACCAAAAATCAATCACATTCAAGGAGCATGCAATGCTTTGAACCAAACAAATTACTTGATTTTAAAAACCCTATCTTCCTCTCAAAGGCACAACAACGGCCATATTTTCCAAGACCTGAATAGCTTCACAATGTTTGCCAAATTAGTGTATTCATGAATACTTATTTGTAGTAGAAATACACGG